TTATTATTATTATTATTATGGCAATCATGCTGACAGCTTTGTTTTGACTGACATATTTCAGAACTATTAGAGTTTGGGATTACACACAGGTGAGTGAGTATAGAAATTATGCATTAAACTATTTCATTAAATTTTGGAAGTTATCTTTTACACATGTACATCTAACCACAATGGCAATGGTAGATTACATTAAATAATTGCCAATCAGTCACCAGTCACGATCACAGGCCAAATTAGTTGCTCAGTTGTACCTGATTTCTGGCTCAATGTTACTGGTCAAAATGACCAGCAAGGGAAAGATTTGACCTGGCAAGACCCAGTTCTTGGCAGACATATTCTGATGACAAGGAGTTATCTGAAGCCCTGGATTAGTGACACTGATGTTATGGTGTTGATGTATGTTAATGATATATAGTGGTGATGAACATAGTGATTATTGTAATGTGATATTTGGTGATAATGATAGTAATGGTCATAGTTATGATTATGATTATAATGATGATGATTCTCATATATGTGTTAAAATGCTTGCTAATTTCTTGTTTTCATTACAGGACTTTTGYGTTCTCTTACTGGAAGGGCATACTGCACCTATCAGGGGTCTACTATGGAATCCAGAAATCCCATATTTAGTTCTGTCAGGCAGTTGGGATTACACCATAAGAGTGTGGGATGCAAGGTGAGAGAAATGTGACATTATATTCTTTTAAACTGAAGAGCTGTTACRTTATAAAACTTATTTATATAATAAATGGTTAACACAACAGTGTTAACACAGGAAGCACAGGTGGCATAGCATGCTCGACTCTCGCTAAGGTGCCCGGGGTTCAAGTCCTGGCAGGCTCAGTGTCGTATAATATGAGTAGAGTTGTTTGTTGTCTCTCTCCTGTGATGCTAGGGTTTTTCCTCCATGTTTCTGGTTTGTCCTAAAAACGGCCGAATCACATTTTACAAAATAAAACTTTTGAAACCATTGCTGCAGTGAAACTCCTCACACTTTGGGGAAAAACAATGGATGTTTCCTCCTTTGGGGAAAAATATCTTGTCATGCAAAAATTGAACTGCCCCTGCATTACAGATTGACTGCCTTGAAACTCCAMTGTAGAGTGTGAGGGTGAGTCCAAAGATGGATTCTTAGATGTTGAGTTGATTTATTGAGCTAAATGTTGTTTACAGGGATGGGACATGCTTAGATGTAATCAGAGACCATGGAGCGGATGTGTATGGTAGGTGGATGAGAAGCCATATGTTACATTACCTTATTGGATTTTTCTTAATATTAGCTTTGCTTTAGCTTCATGGATGGGATGGATGGAAGTTTGTGATGGATGGATGGGGTGGATGTTTGGGATGGATGGGATGGATGGAATGGATGGGATGGGATGGATGGAAGTTTGTGATGGATGGATGGATGGGATGGGTGGATGTTTGGGATGGATGAGATGGATGGGATGGGATGGATGGATGGATTAATACATAATTGACTAATTCATATTTTTTTTAACTTGAGGTTTAACATGTCATCGGTATCGTCCCTTCACCATTGCATCATGCTCCAGGGATTCTACTCTCAGAATATGGTCACTTAGTCAACTAGCCAGTCCATTACAGATTGGTGTATTAGTGCAGTCTCCATGGTCAGAGATTATAAGTCAATCTCTAGGTAAGACACACAGACACTGGAAAAAGACGGACACTACCAGACATAGACAGACAAAGTGATAAGTAAACACAAAGATTGATGGATAGACAGACACTACTAGACACCAATAAGACAAACAGACAAAGTGATAAGTAAACACAAAGATTGATGGATAGACAGACACTACTAGACACCAATAAGACAAACAGATAAAGTGATAAGTAAACACAAAGATTGATGGACAGACAGACAAAGTGATAAGTAGACAAACAGACAGTGGAAATCATGGATCCTAACATGGATGGACGGAAAGACAGTAGTGAAGTGAGGTACTACCAGAGAAACACATGATTGAGACAAAATGATTAGTAAACAGAGACAGTGAAACAAGGCACCTGATGGTAGAACAGACAGACAGACAGCTAGATAAGGGAGAAGAGAGACATATCTCCTATCTCGTACATGTCAGTTTATTGGTGTATTTTTTYGTYACTGYAGAAGAAGCCATGGTAGTTCAYGGTCCACCATTACTATCAGGGAGAGCATCACGTGATCTTAAGGTGGATATTGACAAGTCCTTAAACAATGCTCACCAAACAGCCATCAAGCTTTTCTCTGACTTTTTCATGGTAGGTTTGACCATTTGGGGAGTTAAGATGGTGTGGTRTTGCAACACTCCCTCTCGCCTCTGACGTCCAGGGTTCAAATCCCAGTCACCCCATRTGAACTTGGATGGTTCTCTTTCTGACTCTGAGGGTTTTTCTCGCCCTCTGGTTTTCCCTCCCCCCTCTCAAATCAACCCAAACAAATTCAAACTTGTAAGAGCTGTGCTCCGGGGACATACATGGACTGTATRTAGTGGTTGCCAGAAGTGCCTCACATGCTTTTTGGTTTAACCTCGTTGAGCTGCACCACTGCTGTACTTGTGGTGGTAATTAGTGATGACAAGGTTTTTTTTGGAGTGTTATTTTGGGAAAATTAATGCCAGCCTAAATTTAATATTAAATTCATTTATTGAAGTTTCTAGTTGTTCTAGCACTTTTGCACTAATTGAGGACACATTTTCACTCACACACTACCACTACATTTAATGCTTTGTGCATGCAACACTTGACAGACATGCTGATTTTTATGGTGTTAGGAAAACAGGAGATATCAGAAAAAACCCTTGTCACATAGGAGAGAACAACCCAGCAAACAAACCAACTCGCATACAATGCTAGCTTGGGCAAGTTTTACCTTAGTACAGAATGACTACTTTCAACCTGCCAACAATGGTTCTAGGAACAATTATACTAACCCTTGTTACATGTTTGGAGTGAAGGAATATAGCTTGTTTATTGTGCTAACAGCTCTTATACATTGCATTATTTTTYGACCTCTGTATCAATCTCAAACTCTAGATGTACTGTCTTCCCTAGTTTCTTTTTTATGTTCTTTCTTAATGTTACCTTTAATRTTGAATCCTCAGCCACCTTGTGGTGCCAAGAATCTTTGGGATTTAGTGTCTGTCCTCACTGATGAGGATGATAGTCTACTGCCTGCTTCATACAGTAAAGGAATCATGCATTCTAAGCATTTAGTCAARTATAAAGCAGTGAGTACTTGCAGGATTGTCATGCTAAATATGATATATGATGTATATAATGATGATAATCAATGTTGTTGCCAATAATAATGATACATACTGTCACTACTTCTTTGAAAGCCATACGACAGGATAGAAATTTCTAAGTTTTTTGTATAACCTTACAAATTACTGCTACTGTGATATGATGATACAT